GTACTTTTAGTATAATGCGAGGGCTCCTTCCTTTGTTCTGATGAATATTTCCACCTGAAATTCCCAGCAGTGTCTAACTCAAAACTGAATGAAACCAAAATTAACATCAAGATTTTTATCCCCAGATCTAGTTTCTTAACTGCCTAGTTTTGGGTTCTTTTCTTTTTCTTCTTTTGCTACAGGTTCTCTCTGTAGCCTTGGCAGGCCCAGGACTCATTATATAGATCAGACTGGTCCCTGCCTCCCAGGTGCTGGGATAAAGGTGGACCTTATGCCTGGCCAGTTTGGGATTCTTGAGGCTTTCCCTACATAACTTTTCCTCCAGCCATGAACTGTGGCTCACCAGCATGGTCTACCTTTTGCTGCTGCCCTGAAACATGAACTCTTAGTACAGAATTTACGTGTCCAGTCCAGTCCATTTGAGTGACCAGTCAGCTTGGTTTCCTGTCATTTCTTCTTCTGAAAATTTTTGCCTGAACGAAGTGGATTCCTCAGTGTGGATTCAGTTCTAACTTTCCTATCAGCCCCGCATCTGTTAGTGCTTATGTAGGTGAGCCTTCTCAAACCTCGTGCACTTTCCTGCACCGAGCCTTTGTTCATTTCATTTATATCACAGGGTCCCCCATCAAATCCTCCTGCTCCAGGGTATTAGGCCCTTCCTTCTGCTTTGAGGGAGTCTTTCTTCCTGAGGTTGATGCTTTACCCACAGTACTGAAGTTTGAATTTCATGAGATCATTTAACACACTTTGAGATCTTAGGCATCATCAATATTAGGCATTATTACTTGCTTAAATATTAGGCTTAAGGTCAAGGCTTTTTGTTTCGCATACACTGTTTCATAAACAGTAACTGAGAAACACAGCGCCAGATAAAAGTTTGTAGTTATAGCAGTTTGTTAGAGGTGTGATTTTAATCTGCCCAGCTCCAAATCCACCACACAACCATCACTGTTCTTGCCTTTAGAAGCCATTAGCTCTCATTTTCTTATTGAACTTGTGAAAAATTCTGACAAATTCTACCTTTAAGAACTTGTATGATTCCAAGTTGAGTTTCAGAAACAGAGCAAAGGGAAGGGTGTGGGGCCATGGTTTTGTTTTTCCAGGCTGTATTAGATAGTAGCAGCTTCCATTTCACGTGCTGGGTACAAGAGTTAACTCTTGAGCACATGAGCAATGGCAGGGCAGGAATGCCTTTGGAAGTAACTCTGGCCATGAGCTCTCCCTAAGGACACATGCCGGAAGACTGTTTTAGGAACACCTGTGTTCATATTTGTCTTGCCTAAATAAGGCATTTTCTTTTTTAAACTTCATTTAAAAATTTTTATGCATTTTGATCATATTCCTCCCCACGCCCCAACTCTTTCCAGACCTCCCCCTACTTCATATGAACCAAACACACATCACACATACGCACACACACCCAAAACCAAGCAAACAACGAATAAGACAAAAAAAGAGACAAAACCAAAACATGGAGTCTGTTTAGCGCTGGCCAACTATTCCTGAGCATGCAGCCTGCCCAGGGTAAATGGCACGCACAGCATTTTTTTTTACTAGAATTATTCTGCAATGATTAACATCGAGTGAACACCTGTTGTGCTCCTGTCTCCTCCTCTGCTCCTTCCTATCTGCTTGTTGGTTCTTCTGTGTTAGGTCTTGTGAATACCAAGATGATGAGAAAGTCAGAAACAGTGGAGAAAGGCACCGTGGAAAATGAAAAATGTCGTAAATAATACTGCACACACAAACTCAGGAATGGAGAAGTCAACAGAAATCCTAGCTCTGTGGGGCTCCCAAAATAGTACAAATGACGTCATATTAGCACATTATTCTACCCTGCAGTGATGTATGGAATGTTAGCCAAGATAGAGGCAGGAGTGACAAGTTGTTCCCTTTGAGGTTGTATCAAGCAGAGATGGCACTGAATGACTTTCCAGGGTGTCGCCCAGCCATATGATCCGGCACAACACGAAGCACACATAGTTTGGATCTGGGGATGTGGTTATACAAAGTCCTAAAGGAATTTAATCAGAGAGGAAAGTACTTAGCATGGCTTGTTTGTCCTTCATGGACACTGTAGAAGAATGTTAGCAGGCTTTGACTCTTCTCTTCTGTGTCTATAGGAAAACACCTGCTGTGAGTCCAACAGAGAGCCCAGGAGAGCAAGAAAGAAAGGGTCTCCTGGGGGCGCCTTTGTGAGAAGGTTGTGAGAAGGTCCATGCAGGAAGGTCAGATAAATGCTTGATTTCCTTTACTTAAACATGATATAAATGTAAATCTATAAAGCTCCTTCCATTCTGAAGGTGAAAGGGATTATAAAAAAACCATGGACTCAGGATACTTTTTATATACATATACATGCAAGCCATCATTTATGAGTAATAATTTCACAAGTATTCATGTAAACTGTTAAATTTAAGATGGTACAATCTAATAGTCAAAGGAAATCCAATTCTAGATAATAAAATTATGAAAATGACACTATGGCTTCATAATAAAGTTGTATTTCTTTTCTTTTTCTCTCTCTCTCTCTTTTTGTTTTTCAAGACAGGGTTTCTTTATTTACCAGCCCTGGCTGTTCTGGAACTCTCTTTGCAGACCAGACTGACCTTGAACTCAGAGATCCACCTGCCTCTGCCTCCAGAGTGCTGGGATTAAAGGTGTGCGCCACCAAGCCCTGCTAAAGTTGTGTTTCTCTCAGTGTCTAGAAAGCGCTATGAACAACTACGAATGCGAATGTGCATATGATTTTCAGAGTTGTTCTTTGTCGGGTGTTACAGCGCACACCTCTAATCCCAGCATTTAGGTGTCTGGGAAGGAGAATCATGAATCTGGGCAGCTGGGCTCTCTAGTGACTATCTCAAGACGCACAAACATGCATACACGCACAGAAACTCACCCGCCCATCCTGACAAAACGTTTTTATTCAAACGACTAGACTTGGAAGGAAATTTTACATAGCCAGTTTTTACCCAGAACAGCTTTACAACGACTACCAGATGTCACTCAGCAGCTTGACAGGACTGACAACCTACTCTCACAAAAGCCTGGGCTACACCTTTGCTAGGAAATATTCTCGTTCAGAATTCCATCTTCGCTCTGTGCTGCAAGCTTTATGGGAATATAGCTAAGAGACACTCAGCAGGACAAAGCACATGGCTTGTTTTCTCCTTTCCCCCATAATCCCTTGAGTTTAGAGACTTTGTTTTTTGTTGGTGAAAAAGCAGCTGTGGTTCTGATGTAGTTCCTAAGCATATCCATTCGATCCCTCTTTCTTTCTATGGTGAGCCAGCGATGGGGTCATCAGCATCGCAGAGATCAGCTCATTCTAATCCAGTCTGTAAGCCAGTGTTAACAGCGCCATGGCTGGGGTGGGGTGAAGAGCAGCTGGAAGATGCTTGCCAGCACGCATGGACTCTAGGTCCACTATCCAGCACATCACACTGGCCACGACGTGCGAGGTTCAAGGTCATTCTTGGTTATGTAGCCCATCTGAGGCCAGGACTAAATGAGACCTCTTTCAAAGACACCGAGATACCTTTTATCTCCTGTATAGTTTGTGTCTTAAAAACTGGCAGGATTATTTTGAATTATTTTGTCCTATCTTATTGACATCCTGCCTGCAGTCTTCCTATCTCATAGACATCCTGCTCTCTCAACCACGTGGGATGTTCTTACGAGAGCAGGCTGGCTGCTGATCCGGAGAATTTTTTTTTTTTAAAGCAAACAGGACGTTCCCCCGGGAGCATGCTAGCTGCGGGTTTTGAGGAGGGGGTCTGTAGGGTCTTTCAGTTAGAAAAATATAGACTGTCTGGAGCACCTGAGCTTGCATGCACAGCAGCCTTGTAAAACCTGGGCGTACAGTTTGTCTGTAATCCTAGCACTGGGGGCAGGGACAGATGGATTCCTACGGTTTGACAGTTTAGCAGAAATGGAAAATCCCAAGTTTGGGGGGTGAACAGGGGAGGGGAAGAGGGGAAGATGGGGAGAAAGAGTGGAGGAGGGGAAAGGGAGAGAGGGAAGGGGGGAAGAAGGGAAGTGGAGGGAGGGGGAGATCCTGTTTCACGAAGAGTAAGAAAGAGAATGAATAAGGAAGATACTCACTGATGACGTGTGGCCTTCACAAGCATACACATGTATTAACACACTTGTATACATGCATATACATGTAGTAGCACGCGTGTGCGCGCACACAAACACACACCAACAAACCCCCCCCAAAAATGAAAAGTAAGAAAAATGTAGAAGACTGGATGGATAACAACAAAAGAAAACAATAAAATTTGAATTTCCTTTTTTCTTTTTTGGTTCAGGAAGTTAGGGTTCCAATCTCTAACTCTCTTTGAGATGGATATTCATATATCTACATATATGGTTACCTCTCTCTCTCTTTCTCTCTCTCTATCTATGAGATGTTTGCCGAATTTAAATGGGTGATGAGAAAGTCTGTTTCATGTAGTGAATCTGAGAGGTGAGAGGAAGCGCCGGGGAATGGAGGTTGCGGGCAAACATCTGATCAGCCGGTTTGCATTAAGGCTTAGGCTTAGTCCCTGGGAGCAAGAAACAAACAGAATTGTTGCGGACTATTCCTTTACACTATGAAGAGGTGTCACTCTGATTGGTTAATACAGTGCTGAATGGCCATAAGCTGGACAGGAAGAGGGTAGGAGGGACTTCTGGGGTCAGAGAGGACTCTGAGAGGAAAACAGCAGGGGTGCCAGTCAAATGGGAGAAGAAGCAGGGTGGGCAGTACAGAGTCAAGGTTAACCGAGCCACGTGAAAGAGTGTACATTCAAAGATAGGGCTTAATTTAAGTTCTAAGAACTAGTTAGGGACAAGTGTAAGCTAAGGCCAAGCGTTCATAATTAATAATAAGTCTGTATCATTTTTTGTGAAAGGAGGCCCAAAGAAAAATCTGTCTACACAAAACAAAACACAAAAACCCACCCCTCAAACTGCTGTACATATGTGAAAAGTTAAAAAAGGCATATACATAAAAATCAGAGTATCTCTATATATTTCATATTAAATATAACACATTTGTAATAGGGTACACATTTTAAAATTTATTATTCACTACAAAAAAACTCCACTTACATAGGCAGTTACTTAGAAAATCCAACCAACTTCACTGTAGTCTTTTATTTTATATAAAAAAACTAACTGCAATAATCAGCAGGGACATAAAATCCAGTAAGTATGTAGAATATGGAATTGTTTTCAAGTATGCAATCTGATAACAAATCCTACTTCATTTGCAAAGCTGCAAAACTCAAATGTAAAAACTGTTTCTGTTGCTGTAGTTACCAAAAGGACAAAATGTTCTTCTATCTCAAACCAGGCTTTGGGAGACAGCTCTTCAATACAATAACGTCATACAACACAAAAATAAAATACCAAAATACTGCTATTTAGTCCATAGGCACTTTGAAGAATTTGTAGTAGTACACTCTAAGGCGTGATGGGCAGCAACAGCAGGGGTGTCAATTTTACTTCCAGAATCTATAAAACCCCAATGCTATTGCCAAGCAAGTGAACACCGAGGCTGTGGAAGAAAAGAAGCTATGTTACAAGTTATAGTTTAATTAATTTCGGGTCGTAAAATAATTAAATAAACAGAAACAAAATCATATTTATAGCCCATGTTCTTTATTCCCTAGAAAACTAAACTAAGTATAAAAGGCATTTGTAAAGCAAGATTTATATCAATAGCCTCCTGTATTGCAGAGAGTAAAAATAAAAATAATTTTAAAATATAGTTATGTGAGCAGTACTTCAAAGTTGCTAGCATTGTGTCTTAGGGTTTCTACTGCTGTGATAAACACTGTAGCTAAGCAGCCTGGGGAGGAAAGGGTCTATGTTATCTTACACTCTGAGGTCACACTCCATCACTGAGGGAGGTCAGGACATGGAGCAGGAACTGAAGCAGAACCAGCTTGCTCACTGGCATATTCGGCCTGCCTTCAGCCTGCCCAGAGGTCAGGGGTACCACCCACAGTGGGCTGAGCTCTCTCACATCAAACATCAAAATATGCGAACAGATTTATTGGCCAATTCTTAGCTTAGCTCATCTTCATGAGTCTGATTACATATTCAGGGTTTCTCTTAAGGTTCCATAGAATCCAACTCCAGAAGTGTACACGATGGGGCTATTCCACACACCGTATCTTAAGGAATTCACCCGCACTGCTGATAGCCTGCCCAAGACTTCCCTTCAAGGACTGGCACTTTAAATTTACATAGGGAAGGTGAATGTCCTGGACCAGTCCTCACACTGCCATCATGCCAGGGAGTCCCATGCCTACCACACAATTAATATTTGTCATTATAGAATGCAGTTATAATAAAGTCTTTCTGAAATGGATGTTGACCACCAATAAATAAATAAATAAATAAATAAATAAATAAATCCCCACAGGCTTGGCTGACCTTATGGAGGTATTTTCTCAGTCAAGGTTGAGGTTTCTGGGCACAGACTTGTGCCCCATACTTCCAGATACTTGGGAGGCTAAGCCAAGAAGTTTTGGTCAAATTGACAGCCAAATCCTACAGTGTTTGTGAACCTTCAGTAAATGGGACCTTATTGTCTTATTAGCAACATCTCAGGTATTCTAGGGAAACTAGGTCCACTTATGCCGTATCTTCCTACTTATTTAAAAATACGTAATTGTGGCTTCCTAAAATGCTTGCCAGTAACAGTACTAAAACATACTTAAAGAAGGAAGGAGAAAATGCCTCAGTATTACTGATTTCAAATCCTCAGTGAAGAAAACAAAAGAAGAATGACCAGGAAAGTCTTTATTTTTGTGTGTATGTGTATTTTACATGTATGGCTATGAACCATGTGTGTGACTTGTGCCTATCGAGACCAGAAAAGAACACAGGATCCCCTGGGACTGGAGTTACAGAAGATTGTGAGCCACCATGTGGGTATTGGGAATCAAACCCTGGTCCTTGAAAAGAACAACCAATGCCCTTAACCACTGAGCCTTCTCTCTAGACCCAGGAAAATCTTTTTTAAAACAATTGCTAATTTGCTTTTCCCTTTTGCTACCACTAAGCCTATTAGATTTACCCTGGAGATCTAAACTGCTAAGTGAAAGTTAGAAAATGTCACCATCTTCAACTTGGAGGGTAAAAGGGGATTTGTTTTTAACTGTGGTATTCTGTAAGTAAATATGCAAGAGAATACTGGAAAATGCCAGCTCCAATCGAAACCACTCCTTTGTTGCTGGGACTGATTTTAGAAGAGGATGAGCATCCCAAAGACTGTTTGGAATTAGATAGCATTACAGTTAAGCTCAAGGCCTTTGGTTTTTCTAGAGTAGGGGTCTTCAAAGCCTAGCTTTAGAATTATTATTATTGATTTTTGGAGACAGGGTTTCTCTGCATAACAGCCCTGGCTGTCATGGAACTCAATTTTTTGAGGCCAGGTTGGCCTCGAACTCACAGAGATCCGCCTGCCTCTGTCTCCCGAGTGCCACCACTGCTGTCTTAGAACTATTTTTTAATCTGAATTTTAAAAAGGACCCTAATGTTGAGGAGATAAAAAAAAAAAAAACAGAGCTCTCATAGTTAAGAAGTTGCTGGGCTGGAGAGATGACTCAGTGGTTAAGAGCACGGACTGCTCTTCCAGAGGACCCAGATTCAATTCCTAACACCCACATGGCAGCTCAGAATTGTCTGTAACTCCAGTTCCAGGGGTCCCAACACCCATGGCAAAACATCAGTGCACATAAAATAAAAATAAAATTAAAAAAAATTAAGAGGAAAGAAAGAAGGTGCTTTTTAAAAATTTTTTAATTTTAAAAACTTAGAAAGAAGAAACATCAGCTGAGGGCTGACTCCATCCTCTAACTGGTGACATCACCAAGTCAGGGGCTGGCTGGAAAACCACTATGATCAGGGTTTTTATAGTATTTTGTTAATGCACACATTTAAAACAGGTGTATCTTCTGACTCCAAGTTTTTAAGCGTATAGCAACAAGGGTATAGCAATATGTGTCCTCAGAAAGCATGCACATACATGGGTGTGCAGACTAGACTGCTCTTCAGGACGAAGAATTGAAAGCAACGTTGTTGGGGAAATTATAACATTTTGAACAACAGAATACTATCTTTTATAATAAAAAGATGTGTGTTAATGTTAAAATATACTTAAGACATTTAGTTACATTTGAACACACAGAGTTAATTATGATGTGTAATTCCTTTCTATAAGTAGACATATAACTTGTATACAGCAGACAAGATATAAACTGCAAATAGTAAATAAAGAAGGTAAGGGAATTTTCATTGCTCTTGAATTATATGGATAATTTAAATAAAAACACACTGCTTTTATGAAAAAGAAGAAAGACAAGTAATACGTAACCAGTGCATTCTCCTATTACATGGGGCCGTGAAATCTTAGGTCAGATTGAAGCTGTGGATCTCAAAAGGAGACAATCTAATTTTGGGATGGTATCTGTGTGCTCAGTCGGTTTGGGGTAAGATGTTTCCGGACCTTCCACTCCTCTCTGCTGTGTTTTAACAGCCTGCATCTACTTCAGTGATCTTTCTAATGCCATTCAAACTATAAAATGATTTTTTTCCACTGTGGAACTTACCCAATTAATTTTACCACTTTGTTCTTGGGTTTATTTTCTCAATAGCCAGACACCCTTTTCTCTAACTGAATTGCCCAGTTGCCTGATAAACTTCAATCTTGAAACTGAAACCTTCTTCAATCAGTAAAGAGTATTTTGGCTCCTTTTTCTCTCTCCTGGAATGGTTATCCAGACACATAGGAACCAACAAATCCAAAAACTGTCAGCAGAAGTTCCTTTCTGACAGACTTACCTGCAAGATAACGAATGGTCTCAAGTTTGTTCGATTCCATCAGTGTTTTTAAGGAAGCAATTTCAGTATCAATTTTATTACTGGTCTCTGAAATAATACTTTTGGTTTGGGTATCCTATAGCAAATCAGAATAAACAGAATTATATTTTTGTCCCTATGTAATATGAACAAAACATTTATATTAAAACCTTCAATTGTGTGCTAACTGTGCATCTATTAAAGTCTTAATAGTAAATGAAAGCTGCCAAGTAACAAAAAATTCCTCTAATTTCGTATCTGAAGGTAATTTCCTCGAATTATTCAATCCTGGGCATAACCTACTAAAAATCTCCTAAGATATTTGAGACTTAAATATATATGATAAACTAAGAAGTAAACATTTTAGTCACACCTATTGTTTTATAGGTAAAGTCCTTGGAATATTATTAATACTTTAAACATAAGGACATATTTTAAATACATCTTGCCAAAAAATCATGCAAGTTTATAATATGAACGGAAATGAATATACAAGGAACTGGCATACACCTGGTGGGTAACTCTGCAGTACAGGGAACAGCGCTCAGAAATTACAGAAATTAGCTGAGAGAATTTGCTCATTTTCTTAATTATCTACTTTCTCTGGCTAAGAAGTGCAAGAAAACGGATTCTTGAAAGAGCACAGGTGATCTTTCCTTCTCCAAGTTCCGAGCAAGAGAACTTTTAAAGAAAAGGATGAGGCTAAATCAGAAGGCTACAGTTTACTTATTGTTTAATTAATATATTCAGGATTAATGAGAATGTAAACAGACCTCTAAGTATAGGGTTCAGAGTCTGGATTCTTTATTTGAGACAGGATATTGCATAGTAATCTAGCCTGGCTTCAAACTCATGGCAGTCCTGAGTTCTGGGATTACAAACCACACCTGGATTAGAATCTGAGTTCTTTTTTTTTTTTAAAAAAATTATTTGTATTTCATGTGCACTAGTGTTTTGCCTGTATATGTCTGTACAAGGTGTCGGGTCCCCTGGAACTGGAGTTACAGACAGTTGTAAGCTGCCACGTGGGTGCTTGGACTTGAACGTGGGTTCTGGAAGAGAAGCCTGTGCTCTTAACTCCAGCACCATGTTCTTTTCTCAACTCTATCAACGACTGGCTGTGTGATTTTAACCTTTTCGTGTACGGTTTTCCAAACTGTAAAGTAGAAATAATACTCATTATAGAGGCTGGCCTGAAGATTAAATGCGTAGCAGACACAAGTATATGTATAATGGCAGCTAGTATATAATAAATAGTAAATATTTACTATGATTTAAAATTTTTAAAGATAATTGTTTATTTAAATCTAGACATTTATTTAAACAATAGTGAATTTCTTTTTATAAAAGTAGCTATTGTCTATATAAAAAGTTAAAATTTGAAAAGTATGTCATGAAAAAGTTAATTCTTTGGGAGGGGGCATTATTTTCAGAACAGAGTTGCACTGTGTAGCTCTGGTTGACCTTGACTTGACTATGTAGAGATCAGGCTAGCCTTGAACTCACAGAGATCCACCTCTGTCTCCCAAGTGTTGAGATTAAAATTTAGCAGTGCTACCATGCCCAATCCTTACTTCAGTTTTTCAAAGTATTTGTTTTATTTTAGATTGTGTCTGTGTGGATATGTGATCCCCTGGAACAGGACGTACAGGTGGTTGTGAGTGCTGGGAACCAAACTCTAGTCCCTGCGAGTGTAGCATGCTGAGTGGCCGCTGTAGCCCTGGGAGGCTTTCATTCTTACTCCAAGGGTGCAGCTCATGCAGCCCCGCTTCAGAGGGCAGCTTCCCCAGAGGCTGGCGGGCTGAAATAGCTGCGATGAAACCAGACCCTACAGGCTCGGTATGTGAAGTCCAAGCTTACAAACTGATGCACACCAAAGTGTCACACAAACAAGGGACATGACATAAGGGGAGGGGAACTTTTGCATAGTAACCTTACCTTTTTGGTAAATTCATTGGTTGCTTCCATAAGTTGCTTTTCTTGATCTGTGAACTAAAGGATATAGAGGCAGAAGGTTAAAAGAAAGAGGGGCAGCAAGATGTTGCAGTGGGGAGAGACACTTGCCACACAGGCCTGCAACCCGAGGGTCCCGGGAGCCCACAGGCGGGCGAAGGACAGACTGATTCTGTGACGTCATCCCTCACCTTCCATGTGTCACAACGACAACAGGAAAAGGTTATACATAATTTAAAAGGGAAAAAAATAAAAAATTCATTTAAAAGCACATTGTTGGAGGTGCTGGGAGGATGGCTCAGTCATCAAGAGTGCTTGCTGCTTTTCCTGGGGACTTCAGTTTGATCTCTGGCACCCTCATGGTGCAGTTGACAGCCGTTCTAACAGCAGCTCCAAGGGACCTGACACTTGTGACCTCCTAGGGTATCTGTGCTCATGAAGACAGCCACATGTGGTCACACAACATCCTCACATCTACGCAAAACTAAAAAAAATATTAAAAAGCAAAACAAAACAAAAGCACATTACTGGGCTGGTGAGATGGTGGCTGAGTAGCTTTTAAAGACACCTGCCACCAAGCCTGACAACCTGAGTTCTATCCCTAGGATCCACATGGTGGAAGGAGAAACCTGAGTTCTATCCCTAGGATCCACATGGTGGAAGGAGAAACCTAACTCCTGAGTTCTATCCCTAGGATCCACATGGTGGAAGGAAACCTAACTCCTGAGTTCTATCCCTAGGATCCACATGGTGGAAGGAGAAACCTGAGTTCTATCCCTAGGATCCACATGGTGGAAGGAGAAACCTAACTCCCATAAGTCAGTCTTCTGACCTTCACCAGTGTGCCCACACAAATCACATACACAAAATGAATAAAATGTAATTAATTTTTTAAAAAGCACATTACCATGTCTGTTACTCGGCTCCTTTCCAAGTTGATGTCCAGCTTATTGTCTGCTCTGATCCGACTGGTTTCATGCTTTAAAGAAAAATCAGTATTTTTAACAATTATCTTGTAGTGGGTATTTGTTATAAAATCAGTGAAATAAATTTCACTTACGGTCAGCTGCTGCTTAACTTGATCTAATTCAATTTTCATTTTCTAAGTGTAAAAGAGGTGACAATTAGCATCAATCCAAAAGTCCCGAGTGTTACTTTAAAAGTTTGAAAACTAATATAAAGGAATACATATTACATTTGTATTTTGGGATCTGAGTTACCTCACTCTGGATTATTTTCTCTGGCTCCACCCATTTGCCTATAAATTTTATGATTTCCTTTTTTTTAAATGCTGAGAATATTCCTTTGTATAAATTTACCCCATTTCTGTCTATTTGTCTATTGATGAACATTTAGTCCTGGTATTAGATTCTACCTTTAAAATGATTTGCTTTTTTTTTAAAAAAAGATTTATTTTATGTGCATTGGTGTTTTGCGTGAGCGCGTACACACACACACACAGGCTGCCATGTGGCTACTGAAAATTGAACCTGGGTCCTCTGGAAGAACAGCCAGTGCTCTTAACCTCTTAGCCATTTCTCCAACCCCATGTTGTTTTCAATTCTAAAATATTTAAGCTAGGGCTGGAGACGTGGCTCAGTGGTTAAGACTGCACGCTCCTAGTTCAGAGGACTGAGTTTAAAGTTCCCAACACCAACGTCTGATAGGGGCCAGCTGCCTGTAACTCTGATACCCTCTTCTGACCTCTGAAGGTATCATAGGGTATATCTCTCTCTACGGTCCCCCTCCTCTTCCCTCCCAACCCTCTCCAAATTGATCTTAAACTTTGGCTAGTAAAGAACTCAATTTCTGACTTAACCACAAAGATACATTTGGGGGTCTACAGAGATGGCTAGTGGTAGCTTGGTTTCTAGCAATCAAGTCCAGTTGCTCACAACTGCCTGTTACTCCAACTCCACAGGATCTGATGCCCTCTTCTGGCGCCTGCACCCATACACATACAACCACATACATATAAACAGAATTTAAAAATAATAAATATTTAAAATACATTTTTCTCATGCTGTCAAACAACAGCATTAAATAAAATGGAGAATATCACAGTACTTTCAGTTTAAAGAACAATATATGATAAGCTATACTAGAAAATTTATATTGGCGCTTAAATTTTTCTCCTTTTATAAAAACAACTTACAATATGTATGCAAAAAAATGGTTTACAGATAAAGATTAGCTAAGGTTAAACAGTAAATTTTGTTTTTGGTTTCTGTGACAGGATCTCACTTTGTAGCCCTAGCTGGCCTAGAATGTGCTATGTAGACCAGGCTGGCCTAAACCACACGGAGATCCCCCTGCCTCTGCCTCCCAAGTGCTGGAATTAAAGGTGTGTATCACCATGGCCAGCTTTAAACAGTGAAATTTTAATCTAAAAACTTGTAGTACATAATATTTTGGGGTCTTTCTATTTAATAAAGTGGCATAATTGTGAGATCAGTTACTTTTCTATCACTAGTAGTAAGTTAAAAGTTCTAGCACCTCATTCTCTGCTCTCAGATTCGCGAATTCACTCTTCTCTAGGATGACCATGTCTTTCCTGATGGAATCCAAGTGAGCCATTAGCTGCTGGACTGTTATTTCCTAGAACATAAAATGAAAACAATGTATGGAATGTAATGTAATGTCATGTATGGAATGGTGGCATCCTTCTATTTTTGAATTGCCTTATGGAACTGTAAAAGAGTATGCCAACATGCAAACATGTAATTACTACACATGGAACCCACCTGTCTGAAGTAGCAAAGGAAAAACGAGGAAATTCAAGGAAAAAACTCTCACTTTCTCACAGTGAAGAGCAGTACCTACGTCTTTTCATGATGAGAATCCTAAGAAAAGTGCTTACATTCCTCAACAAATGGTGTTTCACGGATGTTTTAGGTTAACTTATGTGTTTTATGTATATGAGTGCTCCGTCTCCATGCATGCCAGAGGCAGAAATCAGATCCCATCACAGATGGTTGTGAGCCACCATGTGGGAGCTGGGAATTGAACTCAGGTCCTCTGGAAGAGCAGCCAGTGCTCTTAACTGCTGAGCCATCTCTCCAGCCCCTTGGTTCTGTTTTTTTAAATATTTGTTGTTTTGATTTTGAGAGACTTTTCTACCACATGAAAATACTAAGATATCAAATAGGAGTCAGAGGTATGGTTTTAAAGAAAATAAGCTATATATTTCCCTTTATCAGGAGAGCATATTTAGTTTTGTTTAAATTTCCTGGACTCTCCTATATTTGACACTACAGAGAAAATATGAAAGAAAAGGTAACTCCTACAGGAAAGAATCATATGCATTTGCTTTATAAAGAACTTTAAATGTGATTTTTGGAGAAAAGGTCCTGCTCTACGTAACTTTAAAAAATACTTAGAGAATACTTTATTAGTTTCTGTAATAAACCCTGTACAAATGGGTAAAATTAAGTTTAACATTTTCAAATTACAATAAAAAAAAAACCCAAAACATTAACATATCCTGACCAATTGCTTAAAATGGTGTCAGGTTGTTTTACTATCAAAAAGCTAGGTGACCACCTTCTGTGTGACAGGTGCAAATTGTGCCTTGTAGGTTGCCCACAATTCTGACTGCCATACAATATAAAAATATGGGCTGTATAATTCGGCCCCTACAAGCTAGTTCCAGATAGGCACCAAAACTACACAGAGAAACCCTGTCTGGAAAAACAAACAAACAAAAATTTCAACTTCATATCCACTCAGATTTAAACATTTTAGCCAGGTAATTTATAAAGTCTTTTCTAGCGACGTTAGTCCCTTCTAGCTTTCGAAGTTTGTGAAGATTAACCATGCATACATAAAAACAGTAAATGTGTCACGTAAAAAGGTTAGCTCTTCTATTTTGGAGGGTTTTCCAAAGGAAAAGGTGTTCCACCATCTCCTGACTGAAACACTACATTTATCTCGCTCAAGGGAAGATGGCCAGATTCCACACTTGGTACACCATACTCTTGTGAGGGACACTCCAGTCCTGTTTCTAGACAGACTGTGAAAGGCCTTTCCAATTCTTCCTTTCCTCCTTCCCTGGAAACGACAGGAGCGATAAGACAAAGAACGTATTACCTGCTGGGCTTTAGTCACCATCTCCTTATAGATGGTGTCCAGGCTGACATTCGATAGCGTACTTAGGACCGACACAATCGTCTGCGCCTGCGTCTTGTCAAACCCTGTATACAAGGAAACCTACAATTTAAACATGGCATGACTAGCAGAAGAGAGAGCTAACACCCTTTCAGCACCCCAACTGTTATACTTAAAGCAGTTACAGTGGAAATATGACAGACGATGCTATCTTATCTAACAGTGCTCTAGTTCCCAACAGAGCTAGATGGACAGCAAAACCCAGCATGTCTAGTCTCTTTTGATAGATTATATAACTGGCAATACGTGGTATGACTTCCATTTGTACTTTGTGGATGGTGCGGCTAACACTTTCATGTACATTTTTAGTTAATTTCTGGTGTACTGTTTTACGTGGCCTTTGCCTAGTTTTCTATGAAATTACTAATCTTTCTTTTGTTGATTCCTAAGAACTCGTTACCATTTAGCCTTATCTAGAATTTCAGTAAGCAGATTTAATGGTTTCAAATGCCATTCTGCAGTATTAATCACTTGTTCACTTGTAATACATTACCATATCTGGAAATATTAAATTCTTCAATTTTTTATTCTTCAACATTTATACTTCCATCCAGACTTTAGCATTAGCCTTTTAAAAGTTTTTTGTTGTTTTTTACTTCAATGAACTTATTTTGTGCATATAATATCATACAGTGCCTCTCGTCACAGTATGCCTTTTCCCAACATTGTGATTCTAAGTGACTATAAAATACTGTGTGTACAGTGGCCACCTCTCTTTCAAAAATCCCCCTTCACTGTTGGTAACGGTGCCACTGTCTTGACTTGGGAATTTATTATATGAGTGCTGCTTTCCTTTTCCGAGTACTCATTTCTCACCGTGAGTTTCCAAGTCCTGCACCAGCGCGTGGGTATCAAAAGTTAATTTTCGTTGTTCTAGAGGAGTTATGTCCACTGGCCTCCTGTCATAACTTGCCTTAGTTATGGTTGTCAAGAAACCTGAAAAGAGGAGACAGTGTCATCCTGTAATAATGTATAGTGATATCACACTTAGGCTTCTAAAGAGCTCTCTTCACCTACATAAATACAGTCCTGTAATCTCACCCAGATTAACTGGCTCTTCTGTGGTATAGGACAATGGTCTGTATGCTGTCAATTTTATTTTAAATAAACGCTGATTGGCCAGTAGCCAGGCAGGAAGTATAGGCAGGACAACCAGACAGGAAGTAGAGGCAGGCCAATGAGAACAGGAGAATTCTGGGAAGAAAGAAGTCCTAGTGTGCAGTCCTGACCCAGCCACAGAGCAAGCAAGATGTAACTGCCACAGTGAAAAAGGTACCAAGTCACATGGCTAACACAGACAAGAATAATGGGCTAATATAAGTTATAAGAGTTAATAAGAAGCCTGAGCTAATGGGCCAATCAGTTTATAGTTAATGTAGACCTCTGTGTGATTTCTTTGGGACTTAATGACTGCAGAAACAGGCAGGACAGAAAACTCAGTCAACACTTCTGAACCCTTTTCATCTGAAAAGTCTCTGATGTATTCTGTGCATAGCAAACATGTAACATGTTCATCATTCAGAAGTGTTTTCAGAGTTGGTCTAGATCCTAACGTGACATATTCTAATTACCAAAAGTATCCCCACTTTCTGCGGTGCCTGCAAGTTTCTTAGTGCTGTGAAACTTTTCTATGTGTATGTTCTTATCTAATGTAACCTCTGTTCTCTTATGGACCCATATCACCTATTTCCTACGTGTTCAGCTCAGATACAGTTAGCATGTTGGCTGTTCTTTCTGACCTAGACTATGAGCCCTGTGCTGCTGTGGGCTGTACTTTTTGTTACTCAGTCTTTAGGACCCCTAAGGACACTTGTGCAACAGTTTCCTCTGAGACTGGAACATTCCATCTTGTAGAGAAGCTTCTTAAACAGGAAGGTAAAATAACTCAAAATACCTTCAGGAAATCCCTGAAACTGACCAGATTCACTAGGCCCCCCTTCCTGCCAGGGTAAATGATATAACCTGAGAGTCCCCCTGGAATGGAAGGAAGTTGTGTAGACGATTCTAGGAGAAGTCAAATTGCCAAGAAGGCTCGGGCAAACAAAACTGAAAGAGGAGAAAAGCTCCAAAGATGATTCAGACTAGAACAGATGCCCCAAAGAAGCAGAGACCAGCTGAGCTGCCTGGAGGAGGTTTAGACCAACCGAGGCACTGGGAAAGGACACTCTCCAACCTGTTGAGCTGCCTGCAGGCTGTGCAGTGTGCTCTAAGTCCCCAGGTTTGTCCACTGTCACCCAGGCTGGGGTGGGGGTGGGACAGCTGCTGATACAGTTGTCTCTGAGTCATTTCTGCTCCTATAAGCAAGCCCTCACCCATCCTGTAAGTAACCACAATAAAACTCATGGGTCACCAAGTTGGACTTCGGTATTATCTGTACTTTGGTCTGTCATGGGCTCTCTAACTGGAGTGAGTAGATGTGTGTGTTGTGTCTACCCAGGAAAAGTTCTGTCATACAGCACTTTGATACACAGGTGAGTCATGATCAATGAATCTGATTTTAAGTCCTGGAGCATTTACTGGTCAGTTCTGAAGTCTTTTGGTCCTGCTCCATTTAATTCCCAAAGCTTCACTTAGACACAGATTAGTCCTTTTCTCTGTTACTGATTAATTTTATTAAAAGTATTTCCTCTGAAGATGAATTCTGCACATATAAAACTATTATGATACATTAAGATAATAACTGTCAGTGTAATAGTCAAATGCAAGGTATTATAGCAGATAACTTATATGCTGCCAAGGCAAGGTAGTATTATTCACTTCTTTAAATTAAAAACAAAACAAAACACTTATTAGAGTTGGATATGGTACCTCACGCTGGATATGGTGATTCTAGCACAGAGACTGAGGCAGAAGGACCGTTATATAGCTATCCTGGGCTACATAATGGAACCAGATCAAACTAGACCAAACCATACCTCGCTTAAGAAAGGCAAAGGAATTTGCTTAGGTTAAAGACCCCATGGCAGGTAATAGGGTTTCAATTTGGGTTCTTTTGACTACAAAGCTCACATTCCATCACCTTGTGTGGTCTGCCTCATTTATCCCAAGGTACTTATATATCTAGGTACTTAAATGACAGCCTCAATTTCAGGCATTACTTTATGCTAGTGATTTATAGGGCATATGTGATTTCTTCTTAAATATCTTTATAGTCAACAAATGTAGACTAAGCACTAGGTCTGTGCCACACAGGGCAATACACACTGAAGTCAGGCGTTCCTGCTGTCTTCACTGATTTTATCGACTGGAAGGCAGGAAATAGGCGTTATTAAGAAAAATGAGCCGGGCGGTGGTGGCGCACGCCTTTAATCCCAGCACTCGGGAGGCAGAGGCAGGCGGATCTCTGTGAGTTCGAGACCAGCCTGGTCTACAGAGCTAGTTCCAGGACAGGCTCCAAAGCCACAGAGAAACCCTGTCTCGAAAAACCAAAAAAAAAAAAAAAAAAGAAAAATGAAAGCTTCACATCTGAATTCTGTTTAACCAATAAAAGCAGCAGCTGGAAAAGGTGGACCTATGCTTTAAAAATAGACTAGCACAGTCAGCCTTCTTTTGGCTGAGTGCCATCTAGGAAAGGGGTAAAAAATGTGCTTTTGTGTGTCACACCCAAAGGAGAGAAAAATAAAAATCAGACCTGTAGATTTCAGTAGCTGCCCTATACAGCTACGTTAGGAGTAATGCTTGTTACCCTTAATTACCGCTTCCTCACTAGAAGTTCATTCTAGTTTAGAAAGAATTAGGAATACTTACATCACACTTTAATGTTTTCATGCTTACTACCAAATTCTTAAAATTCTCATTTTATTGATGGAGGAAAGTGATGCTCAGAGTCTAGTATGATATCTTAGGTTTTAGGTCTCATGGGTAGTCAAACTGGTACAGTTCCTGATTTCAGTCAACAAATAATGAATGCTCATACAAACATTAGCTCCTTGGGATAGAGACCTTAACATTGCCAACAACTCTCCGCAGGGCACAGCTAAGCTCACGTCCTATTATGCACTCTGGCTCCTAGACTTTAACTATACAAGCATGCCATCTGCTTGCTTTCCCTTCTTGGGGCCTTTGCTCAGTCTGTGTTCCGAAAGCTCTCGTTTGCCTGTTCCTATTTACTCTTCAGAGCCGTGCACAAATGTCTGTTCTGGTGGGACCTGTGCAAGGATTCCCGAGGTCAGGTCTCTCCTAGTGGATTTAAAAGTACCTTGTAACATTCTCTCATAACGCCATTCACAATTTTCATATTATGAAACCACTGATTTGTAAGTTCCCCCATTCAACCAGGCATTAGTGAGCTGCTGCTATCTGGCTACCAACACCCAGTCTTCAGAGTTGTCTCCATAAATAAAACTTTATTGGAACTATTATCTACGACTGCTCTCAACAACAGAGAAGTGGTATTCAACTATATCAGCCACACAGCCTAAAGTATTTACTATTTGCCTCTTTTACAGAAAGTAAGCTAACCACGGAAGTAAACCTTGAGAGCAGGGGACACATCTGTTCTCGGTCTCTATTGAGTTCCCAGTGCCCGACAATTCTAGGTGCCCTAAAGCTATGTGCTGGATGAAAGGTGTTGTGTTTGCATTTTATGTGCAATGTGGGTCAGAGACTTGTTCACGTTGCCTCAGATTGCTGGGCTGCAGGGTACTTGATCACACTGTGAACCTCGAGATTGCTATATGTACTGGGAAAACCTGTCTCCAGTTGTGGTGTGGCTCAGCCCTAGCACACACCTTTAATTCAAGAGCTTTCTTGTAAACAGGATTTAAGGCAGTCAGTCATAGGTCAAGAGGTGGAGCAAGCAACCCGCAGATAGGAAGTGAACAGAGGCTTATTAAGGAAAAGAAAAGAGAATACGAGTGAGTCAGGATGATGGATAAAGAGATGCACAGGAAGTAGAAGGGAGGGACAATGGAGTTTGAGGAGGTTTTGTTTGAGGAGGTAGGAGAGAGAAGGCTTCTGGGACATCAGAGGACGAGGAAGGCCATCTCTGCCTCTCTGAACTAGCAGGCTTTCACCCCAGCATTGGCTCCTGAGTCTTTACTGGTAAAATCGACCGATGGGGATTTTGTTAAAAACAACAGCTGGGCTCAGATGATTCCATTTTAGCCCTGTGTACTTCTGCTCTGGACTTTTGAGGTTGTGTTTTTTGTGATGTGATTTCAAAATATATCCACCGGGGAAGAGAGACATTTGATCCTTTGTGGGAATAAAGATTATCTGGAAATAACACGAGAGTTACAGAAAATCTTAAAGAAGTAAACTAGATAAACCTTGTGGGCGGGGCCCGGCAGGGGGCGTGTCCTCTCGAGTACGCCCACCCCGCCCCGCCCGAATCGTTTCCCTGAGCAATTCCTTCTCTCACCTCTCCGCAGGGCGGGCGACAGACGCCCGCGGGGCGTTGAAGTCCAGCCGCCTCGACTGCCGTCAGGGCGTAGGAGCCGCCAAAGCCAGCGGCTCCTCATATTCCCGGAGATCCGCGTCAGTAAGCGGAAACGGAATACAGATGAATCCCGCAGAGGCTTTCTGACAATGTAGTTCTCTCACCATAAGAATGCTGGGAAATATAGTTTCCGTTCTCTTAATAAAAACATCTGTTTGCGGGGTCTCCAACGTGAGTCTGAGCCTCGTCACAGTCACACTTCACGAACGACTCCGAGCGTACCCCTTTAGCCTGTCGCCCCTTCCCCAGCCCTCTCCGGGCACCCATTTGCCGGCGTTGAGCTCCAATCCCACAGCAAGCTTTCCGGAGACTGTGTACCCGCAGAGCATCCTGGGATTTGCAGTTCTCGCTCCTCAGCCTTGGAGGGAGGGACCGCGCTGTAACCTCCTCCAGGAGACTTGTGCAAGTCCATCCCTCAACGCCGTTTTGCAGTTTCCCGTCTTTCTACTTGGCCCTCTGGTGCCTTGGAGGACCAACTGTTTTAGGCCCTTTCTTCAAGGGAAACGAAAATTCTCCTCTTACTGGGTCGGTAGGTTTACGATTTACGCCTCTCCCACTTCAATTACCATAGTAATGGCTCCATTTGGTAAAAATCTTGAAAATAACGTTATCAGCGGCTTCCTTAGTTTTTAACTTTGTGAGAATCAGCTACCTCCCGGTCACCATTCTAAGCACTGAAGTTCATTAAAAACAAAACTTGTTTTCCATCAGCAAGCGCTTCAGTAGACCCCACATAGAAAACAAACGGTTCTGTAGGCGGTTATAGGGAACAGAGGTGGAGGCACATCTGCCGTCTGCTGCACAGTAGCACACCCCTAATACTCTAGGGACTCAAAGTAGACTTTAAATTTTAATTTTTCAATTTCATTCTCAGAAATATGCGAATGCCAGCTAGGTTAAGGATCAATATTGCGAAGAACATAAAATTAAATCAGTTTCAAATTCTTACTGTACAGGAATTTTTTGCTAGGCTGTGTGGGGGTTACAAGGGTTTCCGCTCCTTCAGAGTGTGTAATGGAGAGACTAGAGCAGGAGAATGGAGAAAATAGACTTCCATAGAAAACAAACAGTAATATATGAGCATCGTGAGCGTTTGAACAACAGCTTCTCTCGCCCCGCCCAGAGCGAGATATTGGCAGTATCTGCAATAGCCAAGCTGTGGAAGAAGCCCAGGAGTCCACCAACAACAAGAATGTATCATATGCACAATTTGTTTTATTCAGCCACCAAGAAAATCAAACTCATGACATCTGTGGGGAAAATAAGATAGCAGCATAATAAACAAAGTGAGCCAGACCCACAAACACAAAAACCCATGCTTTTCCTTACATATGCAGTCTAGGGGGTGTGTATACGTATGGCACGAAATTGAAGGGGAGGGCTATTTGGAAAGCGCCAGGGGAGAGGAAAAGGAACAGTTATTGGGGGAGTAAAGAAGCACAAAGTATATTATCCTCTTGAATAAGAATGCTATTTATTATTAAATTCACCCCTTGTACAGTGAATATACACAATGACTTAGAAAAGAGAGACGAGGTAGGCTTTAGACTTGTTTTTTTAAAGGATTTTTTATTAAGTAGAGATTGTAGGGCACGGGGTCCTGGGGAGAGGGCCAGAGTGAGCAAGCACACTTTGTTAATCTCGCCTCTTACTCATGGCCTTTGCGTTTGATGCTTTCTCAACCTGGAGAACGTTCTCTGGTGAATTACACCACTGTCTTCGTGTTCTTCAGATCCCAGCTGAACTGCTACCTTGCAAACTATCGCCACACACACACCATGTGCACATTTGGTGCTTTGGTTAAGAACCCAACCTTTTCAGGAGCTTATCTATGTCCTTCACAGCGGTGACGGCCACAGTTATTGCTCTGTTCCCTAGCACTTGGCATAGTGCCTGGCCCATAGCGAGCCTTGATAAATAGATGTTAAGTGAACGTGTGAGTGTTCAAAACATAGTCACAACTTGGTAAGGAAACCTTAGATGGGAGCAAAAGAATACATGGATCTTGGGTAGAATGAGGACAAATCAAGGTACAAACTGACTAAAAATGAGTAAAGAATTGGAGTTTCATCCAGTGGACTTAAAAGACATTTTTTATGTTTCCAAGCCAGATTAATTTCAAGTCCATTTACGTTCCTTTCCAAGAAGGAACTACTTGCCATTCTCCAGTTCAGGCAAATGGCTCTTTTCTCGTGGCCTGGTATGAGCGCTGCAGCTACTCGGAAGTAACCCAGTTGGTCCATTACTCAAAGGCCGGCGAGCGAGCCGGAGTAGTGAGTCCCCGTTTCTCATCACTTTTATTATTTGCTATTCGTATGCACCCCAGATTTAGATAAGCATTACTGTTTGCCAGCCACTGTTTGCCGTTACTTCTTTTCCAGTTTGCAAGTAGTTTGTGCTAAATTACCTAATTGGGCGAGTGGGAGGAAAGGAGCGCTGGCTCAGCCTCAAAGTGATAAATCCCTAGCAGAAGGCAAAGAGACTTGCCGGTTTCTTCGGTGGGCTTCTGATTTCATCTTTAGTGAGGATACGACGTCTTTAAGCATGTAAAATGCCCACACTCTCAAAGACCCAGATGTCTGAGGACCAGAGCTAAGGCTGGCCTAATTGGCGGGGGTGACCAGAAGCTCCAGGCACAGGAAGTGCAGTTTGGGTGACGGAGATGAAAGAGAATGCACCACGGTGCCCGCACACAGCCGCTCCTTTTCTCTACCCTAGCCGATTCCAGTGCATTTAAAAAGAGGTCAATGAAGTAAGCTTTGGCTCTGGATTTAATTTTCTACCTTAGCGTACTTGTTCGTTCATGACACTAGGGGGCGTATGAGAGCCAGGACAGAGGACAGTCCTTTGTTCTTTCTGAAGCCTGTTTTACAGACCTTTGTGTAATTCCGGAGACAGATGAGCCCACTGTCACCAAAGCTTGGGGGAACTATGATAACGTCACATTGCTTTCTTTCATGGCTTAAAGGTGGCATCCGCTCCTTACCTTTGCAAATCAGGGGACTTTTTTTTTTCTGAGTGTATCAGAAAGTCAACAATGACTCTCAGTTACGAGTCTGCCAGTTACAGTAAATCAGAATAAAATAACAATGAAATAGAATTAAAACAAAATAACAAAAAAAGACATGTCCAAGAATTGTATACTTTACAGTGGTATATCATCTCCTGATGTCTCTCACAAATTATTTATTCATTCTTTCAAAAAGGTCATGGCTTATGGTGCTAAGTACTGTGATAGCCTATGGAAAGACATACACAGAGCACAGTACAGGCCTCAGGTTGGTTGTGAGTTTAAGAACTGCCAGACTGAAGGGAAGCGTGGCTGCCAAGGAAACACATAGGAGAGGTGTCTACTACTGGGCATGAAGCTCTGAGGAGATTCCTTTGGAAGAACAGGTAAAAGGTAGAGGTGAACTTGGCAGAAGGTAGTGTAGGCAATGGTGTGTGTAGAAGGCCATAGCGTATGTGAAAATTGGGGTGTACGTGTGAGCAAGCCTTAGTCATTCAGACGCAGGGACAAAGGCTGTAGCCGTGAATTGAGCATAGGTTTAGAAGATGAGGTCAGGAAACGTGGGCCTGACCCTCAGTGAGTAAGACGCACCCTGGGCCAGATGACAGTGACACACACCTTTAATCCCAGCACTTGAGAGGCGAAGCCAGGCAAATCTTTGAGTTCAAGGCCAGCCTGGTCTACAGGTCAAGTTCCAGGACAGCCAGGACTACAAAGAAACTTGTCTTACGACAACCTGCCCTCCGCCAAACAATAAAGGAAGCACCATTGGGAGCTTGGGGCATGGTACTGAGAAAGTCTTTGGTCAGTCTTCATACCTGGGCTTCTCTGTTAGCATTCAGGGCTTACTTTTTTCAGCAAGGTTCCCTGCTGTACACACTGACTTAGTGATTTCTCCTTTTCTGGGCAAGGATAAACTCTTCCTCTGTAGAGACTGAGCCCCAATTCAGGAAGGACAACATCCTCATTGTGCGGCTTGGTTGCCTCAGACGATTAGCGGGATTTAGTTTCTGCAACTACTGCTTCTAGCAAGTTCCAGCCCTGTGGCATACTTTTCTTCAGGCAGCCAGCCTACAGTAATGACAGGGAGACTTATTAACTATGAAAGCTTGGCCTTGGCTTAGGCTTGTTCCTAACTAGCTCTTATAACAAATTAACCCATATTTTTAAATCTACATTCTGTCACGTGACTTGTTACATCATCTCTCCGCACTGCCCATCCTGCTTCCTCTCTGTCTGTCTGACCACTCTGTCTTTCTTCCTAGAGTCTTCTCTGTCCCTGGAAGTTCCACCTAACCTCTTCCTGCCTAGCTAATGGTTACTCAGCTCTCTATTAAACCAATCAGAAGGTGCCTTAACAAAGATACATATTTCTGCCAACTAGAACCTCTTATCTATTAAGTAAGTTTCTCCTTTTCCAATCTCTGGCTAAGCCAGTCTGTATTCTGAACCTAGGAATTTATCTATTCTGTTCATACCATATGAGTGGAACCACCGATAGGTGACATTTTTGGCATACCTTTTTCATTTTGCAAAAATGTTTCGCGTGTTGATCTGTGCTTCAGCATGTATCAGTATTTCATGCCAAATATTCTTTTGCATGCATATTCTATTGTATGCTTTCCCATTCGTCTATTGATGAGTGCCTGCTAGATTTTCATTTTGGCTGTTGTATAGGGCCTGATATGAATATGCATGTGCACACTCTCCTTTATCTTTCTTCAGTCTTTTGGGTACACATCCACTTAAGAGTGTAATCGTGGGTTTATAGGATAATTCTGTCCAACTTTTTGAGGAAAGATCCAGCTCTCTTTGCTGTTGCTATTGGGGATATATGGATATTAGATAACGAAAAAAAAACCCAATCCTTTATTGGGTAATTTATTTTTCATTTTGGTGTACATATGTGTGCGTGTACTTCATGTGCCATGACGTATGCTGTCAAAGTACAACTTTGTGAGTGGTCCTCTCGTTCCACCATGGGATCCAGGATGAAACTCAGTCAGAGGTTTGCACGGCAAGTGCTTTTCCTTGCTGAGTCATCTCACTGGCCCCAAACTAGCCTTTTCTTAGCCGCATAGTTTGTACGGTTTTAGCTTTATTTTGCAAACTTTAAAACCTAACTCACCAATCACAGTTACCTCACTAATTATAGTTACCCTACCTATTATAGTTACCTCTCTAACTCTGGTTACCCCACTGGGACAAATATTAACATGGGGATTTAACGGAATAGAAGCTGGGAACTCTTAGAATATGGATTCTTATCTCCAGGACAGCAATGCCTAG